TTGTTTTCAGACTTGCTGAGTGACAAGCGTGGCTCTAAGTAAGGCCTGCTCCATATTCAACAAGGGTGAGTTAACAAACTGAAGGGGACAATCTACACCATTCTAAGTCAAACACCTGGAAAGAAAGTTGCAGAGTTCTGATGTTAGTTTTACCTCGTGTCAAGAAATCAGGGGTTACCGAGGCGTTTTAGGGTACAAAGAATGAGAGTGCAATTAAATGTCACTTAAAACCGGAGGAAAAACATATCTTGTGTATGTATATGATGAGTAAAGGGCAACACTCAATAGACAGCAATTGTTTTATAATGTTTCCAACAAAGACTCTGGCCTGAAATTAAAAAGGGCTTTAACCTTTACAGGAACATTGTCTTCTTTTTCTCTGAATGACCATCAAAGCTTGAACGCTGTTCACTAATAATTTAGCAAACTCTCAGTGACATTTACTTGCTTTGCTGTATTCAGAGGCAGTTTAGATTTACATAAATTTCATTTTATAACTGGCTTCCAGTTGCATTAAAAATTCACTTGTAAATTCAGCTGAATGTTAAAACGCCACTTCATTTGTCACGCGCTAAAGTTCCTAATTATAATGAAAAAGAACCAACAGTAGTGCTGGCATATTTAATATAATATACGGCAATCAGTCAAGGCATTTAAAGTAAGTGAATGCATCGCAATGCAGTGATGGAAGGAAAATCCTGGGTGTTTGTATTCATGTGCATGCCACTTTGACCCGTATCACCAACCCCCCATGGCAACGGCACTCCCTGATGATGGTGGTCTCCCCACAGCAGGACAATGGGGCCAATCAAGCCACAGAAACACCAACAAAGACCTCAAGGCTTTGATCAGTCCAAAAGACTCAACAGATTCTCGTCTGACCAAGTAACCGTGGGATAAACCAAAACAATCCATATTCATAGTGGCCCCACGTCAAACCCAGCGGGTGTGCTACCCAGATCCCTACTTTCGGTGAGTGTATTTAATTACAGCAAGACTGATTAGTTAGACATGGTAGAACTAAGTGGGAGAAGCAGAATGTGTGATTATGCTGTCACAAAATGACAGTTTAATCAGTTTAGGACAGATGAAAAAGACTGAACCTTTTAATATTTTGGCTAGCAAATGTAGCAGAGACAGCATTCAAATTGTTGCTTTACAAATTATCAATAACCTCGTTAGCAAACCCTTGCAACTTTTTAGGTTGAGAAATCATCGAGGGAAATGATTATGTAATATTATTCATGTGGCATGTTTATCACTCTCAGCCAAACCACATGCAATAATACTGACTCCCTTTTAGCTCTGCTTTTTGTTTTGATGGTGGCTAAATGATTCCCTGTTTTCACCAAGTAATGGCCTTAAGTATCCTTTTCCTGTTTGCTACTGAAAAGATGGGTTTATGGAGCATTATTTTTCATGGTAATGAATGATTCAAACAGCTGCAGATCATTTATTTGCCTTTTTCTTCTTAGTTTTGGGTACAAAAAGAGGAGTCATTTGCTCTGAAATATTTAAAACTGACCATGGAACATTTCACAACTTTCTTGGTACTCGCTTACACAACCAAAATGTCAAAGTAATTTTCTACAAACTACTCTTAGTTTGTTGTAATTGATTGCTGTAGAATACTTGGTTGTTTTAGTTCCAATCTGTTGCAGATCAGAACCATATCATAGGAAATACGGTGTATTATCGAATGTTTGCTAAAAAGACTGATCTTATTAAATTCAAATAGCTATGAGATTTGAGTATTTAGATTTTGTGTGTGGCCTCCACATAAAAAAATGGAAGTAGGTCAGAAAATAATATAACATTTTCATCAATTCATACCTCCATTTCACTTCTCCCTACTTCCAATTGTGCCTCAAATAATTCTGGAAGTATGAAATTTCACCACGATATAGTAATATTTTAACATGATTTGTTATTTTTATAAATTTTAGAGGCAATTTTTCATGAAAATAATTAATATTTAATAGATTTCAACTATTTTGTACTGTCTAAAATTTGTATTAATCTCCATTTCCATTTATTTTGGTTCTGGTTATGCCATGATCTGATATCAAACCAAAATGAGAAGAGAGGTAAATTTCCTGTGCTGTGTGAATGTTACAATCTGAATGCATTCAAATTATTTAAAGGAGGTGAAATGAAGCAGAACCCCTTAGAACCATGTCAGCCCTACAACAAAGATTTTGATTCAACTGGTTGCACAAGGCTTTGAGGAATGCAGATATGTAGATTTTATGGTCTTGCTGTCAGAAGTGTGGACACAGCAGTAAGTTAAAAGCTACTGGTTCTTTGTGTCCTTTTTCTAAACTTGATCTGTTTTTTAAATGGGGTTCCATAAAGAAGAGGATATAATTTTCCTGTTCCGAGGCATGTAATTCTCAAGACACTTATTTGTAAGTCACACTATGACAAAGATGGTATTTTCCTGCATTTTAATCCAATCAAACAGAGTTATTTTATTAATCTAAATGCATGTATAAATTGTAAATATGTATTTAAAGGCGTGGGACTAGGAAGAACTTGTTGTGGAAAGCAGGAGTTCAGCTTAGCAGTACAATTAGTAATGTCATCAGCTTGAGGCAAGAAAAGCTTTATTTAATCAAAACTGTGTATTTTAATGGCAACTATTTGGTGAAGGCTATATCTTCTGGTACAGTTAAAATATGAATAATGTGTCTAGTTAAAAGCTTTCGAAGATAAGAAATCCTGATCCGTTCATCTCTTCAGAAAGAAACAGTTAAATATTTTTTAAAAGTATTAAATGTCTAAAAAATAATGTCTATCAGGCACCAAAAAAGTTATATATTTTTTTATATTTGAAAGGCCAAAGAAGCACATGGATTACAGAGGTAAAACTGTATGAAAAAAGTGAAGAGATGAAGGTTCCTAATTGTCTCCTGCTGGTAAATAGTATCTACTGGCAGTCATATTTTATTGTTCCCTTACTGCTGACATAGTAGAATACTGAAAACAAGAATACCACTGTGAATAGAGTGTATAAATGCCACCCCCCTGCCGGGTACGAACTGATGCATGGTGAGTACAAAATGTGCCATGCCATTTGTTTTTGGAAAGAAGTAAAAGTAACAAATGGAAAAAACAACTGGGGTCAAAATGACAACTGGTCCAGAGGCAAACTCACTCCTGATGGTAAACAATGAGCTGAAGAACTCATAAAAACTCACATTCACTGCATGACTGTTAACCGTTATAGAAATGGTATCTCAACGAATTTTACTGCAACATATCAATATTTCCTGTGGGCTCCTAAAATTAACAGCCCTACTCTTCTTCACAATGAGAACTCCACATCCTTACCAAAGCAGACCAGTCGATATGTCTGCTGCCATATATTGCAGTAACATTAATCTTGCCGGGCACAGCGAGTCAGCAGGCAGACAGCCTGCGCTGCCTTGTGACCATGCAAGGATGAATTGATCTCGACATCCCCCATGTAGTGAAATGCAGTGTTTGCTTGACAGTTCAGCAGATGTTCCCTGTGCTCACAGCATGAGGAAACAGTCTGGCATGTGGTATGCATAGGATGTGGCCCAGTGATAAATTCAGTGAATGAATGGCCCCTTGAGGTAATGCTGTTAAAATGAATAACTGTTCCTGTTCCCGGCCTCCTGTGTGCCGTCAAAAACCATAAAGCAAACTGAGACACAAAAACGTGGTGCAAATGAACGTCCCATGACACTGACTCAGCCAGAGCACCTGAACAAAGTCGGTGTTTTTAAAATGACGACAAGTCCTTCCTCTTTAGTAATGCCCCTTAAATATGTTGCATTTCCCTCATACAGTCAGGGTTACATCAGCTCACTTCCTACAATTCTGCAGAGAGCCAGTCCGAGGCTTTCCTGTCAAAGAATGATTTATGCTGTAGTTGACACTGAAAGGTGGTTAAAGTGAACTAATATTTTGCATACGTCATACACAATACAGAGGGAATTATGCATTAAGCTGTTTTCTTCTTGAAAAATCTTTGGGCTGCAGAAAATGTTGCAGAAGACTATTCGTAAGCATCTTTCATGATAACCATTCCAACAGGTAGTAAAGTAACCTACCACGACATATTTCTGGGAAGCAGTCTTGTAATAATGCTGCATTTAATTTACAGAACAGATCGTTTTGGAGCGTGTCTGAAACAACTAAGACCACTTTGGCGTAAAACCGTTTCGAAAAAAACATCAAACATCAAATTAATATTAGGAACTTCCCAACAAGTTGTTTCTATGCTAAGAGAAAAGGGAACAACTTTCTCAGATATTAAAATAGTCTCCTCAGCACTGTTCTCCTATGATATGAAGACCACTTACATTTTCACAAAGATGTAGCAAATTACATTTTTGTCAGAATTCACCAAATGATTACTTCAGGTTGCAGCAGCAGCAGCAGCAGCAGCAGCAACTAAAACGCATTACACAAGTTGCTACATATTCAATTTTTACATTTGACAGAACCTAGTTGGGTTTTATTATTCACATGTATCACAAATCATAAAAAGACACGAGACTCAAGTTGGTTTCTGATTTGGCAGAGAGGTAAAGGCTTATTTTTTCTCTCTCTTTTTTTGGCATTTGGTCAAACTCAGGCCAGATCATTTTCACAATCTTTGAAACAGACTTGCCAAACCTGGGAGTGTTTATTCTGCCTTACAATTCTTTAAGGTACAGAGTGTCAATTTTGAAGACTATTCTCGGTGTCAAATAAAAACGCAAACAGCTGTTTCATTAAAAGCTCTGCTCTGGACTCGTTTAGTCATACTGACTAAACATGGTCCTGTCCACAATAATTAAGCCAGTCCAGAGCAGAGACGTTAAGTTAGAGGATTGCTCTTCTTCTTTAGTAGTAAAAATCTTCTTTATAGTAAAAATCTAAAAACCCACTGGCAACATCACTGAAGTGACATAAGAGCTTGCCTAAAGTTGAACGATCGAAGCCTAAATGATTGTTTAAACCATACTGTATTTTTTATTTAATCCTTTTAATCTGTTTATGTATGACAGTTTAGAAGATGCACATTCTAGCTCATAGACATTGCATGATTTTAGCTTAACTGTGAAGAACTGTGGTCAGTTTTGGTTGCTCACATTCATATTTAAACTAGCCAAGACTGGACGCTTATGATAAAATGAATGCAACTTCTTAAAAGGACAAAGGAAGAAATAAGAGGAAACAAAAGCCTTCCGTTGAATCTCCCGTTCAAGCGTCTGGTATGCGTGTTGTAAGCCGGGAAGCAATTTTCAATGAATGGGAAGACACTGTTAGCTTCAAAGACTGCGCTGAATGTGCATGGCGGCATCCTGAAAACAACACGTGTGATCTGCAGAGGATATAGCGGAGGATGTGTAGTCTGTGCATCTGCTTCTGTGTGTTTAGCGAGTACTGAAAGGAATCTCCACTTCACATCTTTTCACAGTGACTGGTCACAGTAAAGGGGGGAGTGGTTTAAACTCACAGTTAGTGTTTAGACCACTTTAGCAAGTGGTCGGGGGACTGATGAAAGGCGAGCACATGCAGTCCGGCACCACTGAGGTAAAGACACGCTACCTCAAATTCCTGATCGCTTTCTCTCCACCTACCAAAGAGGTTTTTAAAAGGAGCCTGCAGAAACTTCAGAGAGCTGTTTACACTTGGATGCAGCTTGGGAAAGACCTCTAATGAGAGAAGACTAAAAAAAGAAAAAAAAAAGAAAGAAAAACTAACCAAAAATCAATTTCTTCAATCTTTTTAGCAAAGAGTAATGAAGATGTTTAATGTGGATTTGCTCATTTTAAGTTTCTGCCTTGGTTTGGGAACACAGTATGGTGCTGTTGGCAAGAGACAGTATCAGATCCAAAACGGCCCGTGTAGCTACACTTTTCTGCTGCCTGAGCAAGAGAACTGCCAAAGCACCTACAACTATCCTGATCAAAAGGATGGACCAATGGACGACGAGTCGGTTCAGAGACTGGAACAACTGGAGATGGGCATGGAGAACAACACACAGTGGCTGCTTAAGGTAAACTTTGTCTTGCATTATAATATCTCTCTACCAATTACAGCTTTTATATCATTTATTTAGACATTTCTAGGAAAAAAATATAAAATTTCAGTTAATCAAGAAACATCAAAGCTTTTTGAGAGAAATGTGTAGAAAAACTGTAAAGTAGAAACATCAATGTCAGTCCATAGTCCATGTGTCTCAAAGTGAAAAACATTTAATGAAAGCCTAAAAAGCTGTTACTAATTGTGTATTGATTTTGCCATGCAAAGTCATAAGAATATATAAGGTTGAGTGACAAAGATTCAACACAGGTGCAGGATGCATTTCTGTCTCTGTCTACTAAAGATTTTTTTTGTAACGATAAAGAAAGTGTTTTTCTTCTCGAAGTCACTTTAATCTCACTTTCTCATCATGAGATTAAAGACAAGAAAGAAAATGAGCCAAATAGATCAAATCAATCTCATGTAAAAGACGTTTTGGTCGACCGCATGAGAACCATCAGACAGCGAAATTCACTCATACAAACTCAAGTGTTGCCTCACATGTCAAAGCAAGCTCTAACAGCACCTCTTATGCACTTACAGGGGGCATATTTCCAAGCACACCATTTCTCAGAAGACTGCTTTGGGCTGATAATGTGTCTATAAAAACTTATCTGTATGAGTATCAGACTACTTTAGACATTTTTCCAATTGTGCAGGTAAAGGAGTCTGTATATTTCTCCTGGTAAGAAAGCGTTATGAACTTAAATTTTATCTCAATATTTAGTGCCAACTGTCAGTATAACAAAACATTAATGTTTAATGTTTACATTAAACATTAATGTTTAATGTTTGCATTAAACATTAGGTTTAATGCAAACAAGCATTAAACATTAATGTTTAATGTTTGCATTAAACATTAGGTTTAATGCAAACCTAATGTTTGCATTAAATCATGTTGAAATATACTAATTAATAATAGCAAAATTTATTTAAATAAACTAATAGTAATAAAAAGACTGAGAAAAAAACATAACTATAGTGATAGTTTCTAAGGTTTGCAAACAATCAATTAGAGCTTATCATTATGATAAATCACAAATTAATTTTATTCCACACAATAAGAAATGACAATGCACTGGTAATATTTTGTCATATTTCATTGTGCATTGAAAAAAAAAGTGGCCTAGGAATCAACGTGACTAATAAATTCACTCCTAATTACTTCCAGCATTGAACCTTACTCCAGAATGACAAACTGATGAAACAGGCTAACCTGTAAAAAAAAAAAAAAAAACATAAACAGAGAATAAATAAGGAATACAAGAAAATATGTGTCCTAGTAACTATAGTTTTAAAATGACAACCTATTAGAAATTAGATGTTATTTAATCCAAGTCCTTTCTCCTCCAAAATAATAATAATAATAAATTTCACTTATTAACACAGCTTATAAATAAAAATACTCTGTTCTTCTATGTTGCAGCAGACATGAAGTTTCCAGTGGAGAATAGCTTGGAATGTGAAAATCCAGTTTTAAAATGTAGAATTTTATTTTGCACAAAAAACATGACAAACTGTTTTAGCCCCATAAGACCCTGAGGAGCAATAAGACAGCAAAGAGGAGCGAATGCTGAATAAATAGATGATGCATTAAGCTCAATTAACTGTAAGTAAAGTGGCTCAACAAGGTTGTGAACCTTTTTCTGGACATGGCGAGATGAAAGAGAAGCATAAATAACTTCAAACAATTCAGGGTCAACGGAAAGCAGCGTGCCAATGCTAATTTAAACTCATCACCAATCAGTCTATTAATTTGTCCAATGAGCGTTCATTCTCCAACGGCAGATGACAGCTAAGACAAAAGAAGTCGACGTTTCTCGTGATTGAGGAACTCCGTCATTCCTCTCTGACGCTTTTCAGGCACTCGGAGTAAACAACTGATTAGATCACAAACTGTCAATCGGATATCCTGCCACACAGTTGAAATAATAACGCTCCACACATCTGTGTGCACCCAAGAACATAAACACACCAGATACAAGAAAAAGGAAGGCAAACAAAATTGTAAACTGAACATCTTAGCTGAAGTTCTTTCCAAATAGTAGAAATGTTTCGGTGTTTTGAACGGAAGAGTGGAAGAGAAGGGAAACTTATGCAATCTTGGTGTTGGTGACAAAGAGAGAGCCCTACTGACGCTGGTTTCCAGTTGGACTGTAATGAAGGATGTAACTCCTCACTCAACACTTCCATCCTGTTTACGAGTCGTGTGACCTGATTGCTGCTCAGGAACACACAGCAGGAAATAACTTAATGATTAGTTTCAGTCTAAATCTAGCCTTTCTGTAAGGTAGATAAGAACAAATATGGGAATGTGTGTCGCTACGTCACAACTCTGATTGCTTTGTGGTATAGAATTTGAATTAAATTAAAGCTCAGTGAAAGAAAATATGAAATTGTAGTAATATTAGAAAATATATAAGACTTCATCATCAACCGGGTTGGTTTGTTTCACTAGTTTTTTTTTTCTAAATACATTTTTTCTAAATGACAAAAATGTTTAAAACAAGCTGCCTTAGTCAAAAGTGTGAAAACAATTATTCTTCCTGCTGCAAAAGTAAGGTGTACAGCCAAAGGTTCACTCATAAAATAACTGAATTCAGGTGTTCCTTATGATCGCCCTCCAGCACCTGACCATGCAAGACTTCATCTACAAACCTTTGTAAAAGAATTTCCAAACAGGCAAAATAATTTCTTCTTATAAGTCAGGGAAAAGTGTAGAAACAGGTGGGGGAGGGGCAGTCCTGTTATTAAACCAATTATTTCAGGACTTTCAGTAGTTTACATTCAAAATGACTTTAAGCTGAAGAAACAGAAGTGGATTTATTTTCTTTAGTTAACCAGAACTACTTGAGCCCTGCATATACAGGTACATCTTAGTAAATGGGAATTTGAAGCTTGATTGTCAGATTTAAAGTATCTTTAACAAATAACCTTTAATGATGTATGAGAAATACTCTTCATTAAGCCTGCAGTTCTGTATTAAAATGTTTTCTTCTTGATCTGATATAAAATTCCAATCTCAAATGTTGTGGAACATCACAATTAACCGAAACAAAGGCCTAAAAACATCAGTCTGAGTGTAATTAACTTATGTTTAGACACATAAGTTAATGTAATACAATAACTCTTCAATAATATTCTAATTCATCGAGATGCCCCGTTCTGTGATGCTGGTAAACAGAGTATGAAGGAGGACATATTGGGTCCCTGATTTAACTTTTATTTCTCCTCCAGCAACAGAGGTGGAGCCTTTTCTTCTTCAATTTATATTAAAACACAGCAAGCGTGAAGAGCCTGTCATGAACCCTGACATCAATGAACAATAAAACTGCAGGTCATGCAGAGAAAGAAAAGATCAATAACTCTTACAAACTGCCTCAGGTTAACCTTTTTTTTTTTTTAAATCTGTGTTGCAGTTGGAGAACTACATACAGGACAGCATGAAGCATGACATGCTCCAGCTCCAACAGGCTGCCGTACACAACCACACGGCTACGATGATTGAAATTGGGGCAAACCTGCTGAGTCAAACTGCTGAGCAAACAAGGAAACTCACTACTGTGGAAGCGCAGGTGAGCCTGGACCTTCTGTTATTCCCAAACACATGGAAATAACATGCAGGAGGCAAAGCAACATACAATTGTTCACCCTTCCTGTTCTGTGCGAGCAAAATCCCACTTAAGCGCTTTCTGTGACACGCTGCGGTGAATAATATACCTTTGGCAGGTTAAAAAATAAGCAATGGAGAAAAACAGGCATGACGAAGTCGGTTTATTATTGTGGCTGCACGTCAATGACCCTGTGTGAGCCAACTGTACAGCATTTCCTGTTATTAGCACACTCGTATTCCCAGAGAAGGGGTCTATCAGTTTGTCACAATCAGACATCCGTCTGTTCAAAGACATCAACAGCTCCAATGGAGACACACAGCCAGGATCCATGTAAACAACCTGCGTTTTGCTGAGTTCAGTTCCTCCAAACTGGGAAATTAGCGGCAAGGTCAACAACCCCAGAGTTTAGTTCAATACATTGGAGTGTGAAAATATGTGGGGTTTCAGTGGTTTGCCCTTGTTTAGGTACGTCTAGAGTATTGCAGTATAGCCGTGCTTTCCTGTGCAGCTTTTCCATTTTGCAAATGGTTATTAGTTCAATCTGTGTAGAGGTGCAAACAGGACTTTGTGTTCCAACTTGATCATCTAATGGAAAATCCAGCTAAATTTGCTGATTTTAGTCATCAATGTTATCACAGTTGCATTTACTAATTTGTTGTTCACGGTCTATCAACAGCGTCGGCGCTTCTTTACAATGAAACACCACATGTTTTGAGTTCAATTACTTAAAGTCTATTTTGATTTTTGATTTTTTAATTGAAATGAAACAGGCTGTTAAAGTATGCCTTGTTACTTTGGCACTAGGTAATCCATCACACAACTCGACTTGAGCGCCAACTTCTTGAAAATTCCCTGTCGACCAACAACTTGGAAAAACAACTCATTGTCCAGTCAAATGAAATCAGCAAACTGAACGATAAAAACGGGTAAGGAAATGCGATGAAAAGCTGAATTGTTACCAACAAATTGTTGGATTAAGTGAAGCCAGAATGGCTCTTTATATCACCTTTTATCCCCTCTTTAGTCTTCTAGAGAAAAAGGTGATAGAGATCGAGAGGCAGAGGCAAGTGGAGCAAAAAACACTTCGTGAAGAAAAGGAGCAGCTTCAGTCGCTAATACTGAGGCAGACGGCCATCATCGGCGAACTGGAGCAGCAGCTGCTCAAAGTTTCCTCCAACAACTCTGTTTTACACCATCAACAGCAGGAGATATTGGACACAGTGAACAGCCTGATACAGATATTATCTACCGGCTCTGTTCAAGGTGAGCCGTAACATCAGGTGGATCTTTAGGCAATGGGTACTGCTTGAATCAGAACAAGTAGGGATCTTTCACTTCTCTCCCACAATAGCACACATTTACTTATTCAGGTGCTGTAAATGTAGAGCAATTTCAATATTTATTAGTACCCCAGGAAAAGATATGAGGACAACTTTTGAACAAAATTGTCTTTAATTTCTTTGAAAAAATAAAAAAAATAAATAAAATTTTCCAGCAGTAACTTTCGGATATTTCTTCACTACTCTTAGCATCCTCCTCAACGTATGTCATGCAAAGATAAACTTGAGTCCTCATCTAGTCTCGTTTCTCATTTCCACTTGTTTTGAAAACTTTTTTTGTGGCTGTAGATATAGTTGGATTTGGGGAAGTAGCTATTTTCTTGTAGGCAATTTGCCTTCCTGACACAGAGACATAAAATATTTGAAAAGCTTAAAAAAGTATCTTTCCTCTAACATAATATATGCTGGTTTTGTTTGTTTTTTGGGGAAGAAATTGTGTTTCATTCACAGAAATTACACTGATTTATTCACCAAAATTTAGAACTAGGAAACAACATCTTCCGTTCATTTTACAGACTAATGAAATTATGCATATCTGAAACTAATATGATCACGAGCTACATATTGCATCTAAATTATCTTCAAACAGGTCCTGATAAAATAACAGCATATGTGTTTTGCAGAACCCAAAATTGCCATGATGCAAGACACTCCAACCACATACATGGACTGTGCTGCTGTCTATAAGTCAGGAAACATCAAAAGTGGCGTCTACACTCTCACAATCCCCAACACCACCACAGAGTTTAAGGTAAAGTGTCCCGAGTTCATTGTCTAAATATATTTGGCGTGGACGTGTGTATGAGAACCAAAAAGAAAAAAATAAATAAAACAGTGTACATGTTACCAAAAATTCACAGACCATCTACATTCTTGAGGGTGGGTAGATAATGTTCACAGACTTCTCATAATATGCAATCTTAAACAAAAACTATAATCTCCTTAAAAACTTTTAAATTCTTTCCCCAGAACAGCGTCTTGATTTAACACAAACTAGGTGGCACCATTACTTTAAAAATAAGCATCACGTTCCAACTTTCAGGGCCATTTATGAACCTTCAACCACAGCTCTGTTTTCTTTGTGTCTGAAGGCTTTCTGTGACATGGAGACAGAAGGAGGCGGCTGGACGGTACTACAAAAACGCTTTGAGGGCCGTGTTGACTTTCACCGTACGTGGCAGGAGTACAAAAAGGTAGAGGCAATCAAGAAGAAATTCTTTACACAGAAAAAACATAACCTAGGCTACAGTTTTCACTCCAGATCTACATACCAGCAGCCTGAATTAGTCTGGGCCATTGACCATTTTCCCCAACTTGGCTTAGTCTGCACAGTCAGTCTGAGGCGTTTCCTGAACTCTATTCAGAGAACAACCAAGATGTGCATGGGAGTTGAGCACAGGCTCCCTGCATTTTGAAGTCATAATAATGTCAGCTATTTGCCATCATTAAAGGAGACAACTCAACCACGGCGTATTCGGCACGTCTAAAACTGTGCTGACGGTACGCCATCATCAAAGAGTATGGATGAACCTTAAGCGTAGCGTGTAGCGCTGATGACTCTAAATGGGAGAGAAATGAGCCAACAAGATGCTGAAAAGATCCATAACTCCTAAATACAGTCATTACAAAACCATGCTCATTTTTCCCCCTTGACACTGAAAGCTTGTATTGGTGGAGAAGATCAGTGTCTGTTTTGTTTTGATAAAATATGTCAGTAAGGGGGAGGGGGACTTTCAGTTTTATAGCAAAAAAAAAAAAAAGGCAGTAGTACTCTGCTGGCTTTGCTAAAGACGAAAAGAGGTGAATAACGCCATCAGGGGTTTCACGCGGTTTAATTACATTTCTTTGTGACTTTTCAGGGATTTGGAGAACCGTCAGGTGAATACTGGCTGGGAAATGAATTTGTCTCCAGACTGACAATTCAACAATCATACAAATTAAGAGTCCAGCTGAGCGACTGGGAAGGAAACTCTGCTTTCTCTCAATACGATCAGTTCTCTCTGGATGGCGAAGCACAAAATTACAGGTTTGTTCGGGCACTTCAGCAAAACTGTTTACACATGCAATTTTGATGAAGTAAAAATAATTAAAGCTCACAAAATTCTGCTAAACATGAAAAAGAAGTCGGTGTATAGTCTTACAACAGTGCTTTTGAAGTGTATTCTCTGAAGATAATTAGTATAAAAACACAATACTAAAGACAATTCACCATCAAATAGTGCGATTGATGTTCAGCATAAAAGCTCACTCTGTAATTATTCTGAATTACTTTTTTTTGGTCAACATTCAGACAGGTCAAAATATTACAGAAGTAATTTTGATCAACCAAATTAAATGCGCACCATCTTGAACATTAAAATCAAGAACTCTTTGCAGCACTACAGGCTGGTTCATGGTATGAAGATATACAAAACATAGAAAAGAAAAAGGAAGTTTTGACAGCTTCGAAAGATATAGACTTTTTAATCAGATGCTAATAAAAGAGTCAGAGAAACTGGAGTTTTCTCCAACTAATCTAAAAGAAGTGCAATACTTCCCTTGACAACTTCCTTTTAGACTTATTTCTGATTGAGTAAAACAGCGTGGAAGTGAAAGGAGCTCCATCATTCCTATTAAGGCAACATTGATTAAAAACTACAGATGACGGATGATGCACGTTAAAAACTCTTCAGCAGGCTGATTGCCTGTACAGAGAGACAAAATATTTAGCTAATTGTCAATCTACAGAGCTTCAGGTATTCTATAAAGAGTAAAACGGCAAGAAGGTTAATTATGATCCACAAGAGTCACCTGGAAACTCAGTGGGTATTCGTTCTATATTTTTACTTACTCTACGTATCAAAATATCAAAAACACACAATAACATTTTAGAACTAGAGCTGCAAAATCTTAGGAAAACATTTCATTGTTATTTTTAAATTTGTAAGCAGATCCTCAAGCAGTACCACCAGGGTATTTTTAATCACCATCATATCCCTAGCTATCAGTATTTCTGCACAAATGATCATATGCAATTTTATTGAATCAACTTCTAAAGTAAATGTATAAAACTGTAAATGCTGACCAGTTACCTTTACACCTCATAGGCAAAACATGCCATAGTAATTAAAAAAAAAAAAAAGCAGTTCTCCACACTGACGTACTGGCATCAGGCCAAAGAAAATCTAATAAAGCGGGTCAGTGTTTGAAAAATAGGAAGCACATAAAATCTCCTTTTTTGACATTCAGTCTGAAGATTTGGCAATAACAAAACCTTCATATCCAAATGTAGGCTGGGAAAAGGTTTCTTCCTATGAAATTAACAGATAGTATTCCTGTTTAGCAATTTATTCTGTGGAGTTTGACAGCAAACAAAAAAACATTTCCATAACGTCAAAACATTGCTGATGAAATTCTCAAGGAAAACTAAATGAACAAGTAATTAAAGAAATGATAAAATCTAAGAACAATAGTTAATTTTCATGATTTATACCAAATCGGGAAATAAAAAAAAACTATAAGGACTAAGTATTGCCTTTTGAGGAACGGTAATCACAGACTTCCTCCTCCTCTTCCTCCATTTTTTCTTCTCCTTTCTACAGGATACACCTTAAAGGCTACAGTGGAACTGCAGGCAAAATAAGCAGCATTGGGCAGCCAGGAAGTGATTTTAGTACAAAGGATGCAGACAATGACAAATGTGTTTGCAAGTGCTCACAACTGACAACAGGAGGTAAGAAATACATTCTGTAAACAATGTATGTGCTTGGGTAATTCTGCAACCAAAAAGATATATAAATGTGTTGATAAGAAAACAATTACACTCGCAGAACAAAAATCCTGGCACTAGCCCCAAAGTCTTCAAGGACATTTTAAAGGCCGCTGTACCTTTTATGGCTGTGTCAAAGAGCACAATTAGCTCAGGCTTAATTACCAATCTGCTCATTGGGGAATTCAACATTGACAATAGCTGACATTAACAGCCTGGGAACAGAGCTTTTCCCTCTCTCCTCCGGTAGCTTAAAAAGCCCTTCACAATCCCCCTGAAAGTGGCTCAACTTTTCTTTATCTGAAACCGGGACTGCCAAGAGAAGTTCAGAATGATAAAAACCGTAACCTCATCTCCTTTTCTACTATGAGGGTTCAAAGGCACATTAAAAACACAGCCATGACTGGGTGGGACCGGGTCAGAAAAGGACAAAAAAGGAAAAGTAATCTGTGAGTACAAAACTGAATGAATAGAAAAAAAACCCACAAAAAGTTGAATGTCTCAAATTTGTATGGGAAATGGGTAGAAATACCTCCAATTATATACAAAAACAAATAATATTAGAAACAGACATGTACTTGTTGTTCTGGAGGGAAATATGAATATTCTCTGTAAAATGTCAATAGAAATGTCATAGCAAACCTCATCAGTATGAACTACGGAAAAAATCTGTAATTATTATAGTCTGATAAAAGTTGGATAATGAAGGAAAACTGCAAGGGTGGATTTAATAAGGATATAATTATGCAGAATGCTCCTCATCAGTAAGTGTATAATAATCAACTCCCACAAGCCTAATATAACCAGACCACTGGCTGACCTATCATTCAAGTTCACTCATAATACTTGAAAAAGTGGAAAAAAATACAACTTTTTAATATGAACTATTTCTAATGACTGAGATTAAACACTTCTTTAAAGACAGCCTGATTCTGACTTAATTGCATTCATTACTGTTAAAAAAAAAACAACACTGTTATTTCTGGGTACAAAGTAAACATGTATCTAAGTTACAAGGAGGCTACTTGGATTTTATTTATAGGTATGTAAATGATAACTTTGTTTCATGCATAAATTAGCATATGTTTATGTTTTATGAAAGTGCTCCGAGTCTTGAATATTTTTTAATATACTATATGGCTGGCGTTGCTTCCAAAGGTCACAAATTGTTTTTCATCTTCATCGGTTGGGGGGATCGGTTTTATGAAGTGAACCTCTGCAAACATTTTTCTGCAAAAATCCTCAACTTCTAAAAAGGTTAATATCTTACCTGAAGGAGATGAATCTCTTGGCATCTTAGTATAAATTCAGATTAATTGGTTTCTGAGTCTCAAAACAAATTCTGCCATACTAAATGAAGAAGCTGAGGAGTTGTTTACTGTAGGTAAGATATTAACTGCTAAAGTCCTCTTGATAAATGAAAAGTTGAAAACTACGAAACTGTTCCTTTAATCACATAAGTACTCACTAATGATGATAGAAAAAGCATAGATTAAAACACAAATTCAGTTTTATACATTAATATTAATGCGTTCTGATGTTCCAGGCTGGTGGTTTGATGCCTGCGGCCCATCCAATTTGAATGGGATGTATTACCAGAACGGCCAGAACTCCAACCGCTTCAATGGGATCAAATGGTACTACTGGAAAGGATCAGGATACTCACTGAAGTCGACTACCATGATGATCAGACCGACGGACTTCTCAGCCTTGCTTTGAGCCCATGTTCGTTAAATGAAGCGTTTCAAAAAATGCTGCCCAGAAAACACCAGTACCAAAAATAAAGGTTCCAGTGGAAGCCAAAGTACTTCATGGTACAAGATAAATAACTGGCTCAAAGTGTTTTTTTTATATATATATATATTCCAGATATTTTTATGATTTAAATGTTAGAACCACGAGAATGTTTTTTTCTACAAATTGTTTGTGTGTTCAGAATGTATGTACATTTGATGTTTAATTTATATGTTCATGTTAGGGATAATATTTATGTCTACTATACATATAGAGGAAATCTGAGTGTTAGAATCTGAGTTTCTTAATTATGACTGTGCAAGCAAACTCAAAAATTATATATTTTAATATATTCTGCCGGAACTCATAAAATACAAGCAGGATGATTATGTTTTTGCATTAGAAATGTATTTTAGAAAAATTATTTTTGTTTTGATGGAGCTTAAATTGTTAACACTGGCTTTACAGGTTTATTAGAAATGCCTTAGAAGCCATTTTATTACTTACCCTGAATACCATCAACTAGTCAGGACTCAAGTTTCCTTAAGCTGACCACATCTCTTTACTGCTTCAACAGGAACATTTTCTACATTGCTTAGCAAAATGTTTGCTTAGGTTTCTCAAATGCAACATAAACAATAAATCTAAACGGATCAAAATCAGTGTAATGTTCCTTTGTATAAACAAACAATAACCAAGCATCTGAAAATGATTAACACAGAGATCAGGGTTTTTTTTTTTAAGTAGAATAAAATGTAACCTTTTCCTTATGTCATCTATATCTACTTCCTGCAAATATGCATGATATATTAAAAATGGGGGAGAGGAAACATTTCTAAATAAAAAGCTTGTGTTTAATAATATTTTATTGAAATGATGCAGAGTCCTAGATAAAACAAACCATGTTGTTATAAAGATGATATATCAGTTCAATAAAAAAAGCAAACAAAAGTAACTATGCTTTTACATCAAACCTGTTGCACAGCAAAAATTCAGACTCCGGCCATCTACAGAACTCTGTACAATATTTATAGCACACTTCACAATTATTAGCGCACCTGGTAAAGACAAGTAGTGAAGATACCGTAACTGGTTACTATGGAGACTTGGTAACCCTAGGATACCACTCTTTCCTGCCTTGTTGATCAAAGCTCACACTGACTGAAACTAAAGTTCTTTCGGAAGGTTTATTTTATTTTAGCCACTGAGTAACTTTGGCAAATCGACACACATTTGCTTCACTTGAATGTTCTCTTGTTTTTCCTACTATGAAGCGTGGGTAAAATACATGGGCCTCTAAATCAGATTTGTACCCCAGGGAATACATAAAATATGAGGAGTAATTACTATCCAGGAACCCGGGTAGTTTATGGGGAAGTTCTGACTAAGGAGCTGTCCAAGATTTCCTCATAAAAGCCCTACAGGCAATGCAAAACCGTTTCATATGTGTAGGACTAAAACATCATCTGCTGCATTACTACACTGGTAAATTCCAGTTATGCACCATAAAAGGAGAGTGCATATTATTATAACAATGCAAAGACTAGCCAGCCCAGACGATGTTCCACTCATGTAGAGTGTTGAAAGAAAGAATAATCTGGATTCATAAAAGTCAAGTTTGGGAAGAAGCAACACCTACATCATTTTTAGGATGCTTCAGGAAAAGCAAGCAAGCCGCAACAGGGCAACAACTAGCAACATCTACTTTTTATTGCTTTTATTTTAAAAAAAAGAAAAGGCAGAGGCTTGTCTTTTTTTAACTAGATAGCTAACCTCCAAAGAAAAAGAAAGAAATCAAATTATTAACAAATGCCAACATTTGGGTTTTTCAAATTTAGACCTCTAAATTCTGTAAATATGTTGGAGTTTAGTGAATCTAACTTTGGTAAATCATTTTCTAAATACTACTTACCTTGGATTAGAGTAAGGTTGAGAGTTATTGTCTGTATTACTGGCTCCTACCTGTGCAGCAGGAAACTGGTCTGAAAGCTCATATGGCTCCTCTGGAATCCACTGCCTTTGCTCCAAGCACCACAGAATCTACCCACAAATGATACGTATGTTAAAGATGCTTAAAAGATCCTTGTGCCATCTTCAGAAGTGTCTTGTAATAGCTTCTGAACATCTCCATACCCATTCGAAAGACAGGATCCAGCAGCCACGTGCGATACCCAACAGGATGTTCAGAGTCCGTCTGTGTTCACCAGACACCACATGAGTTGTGCTCTCACATACTCGGTCGATGATTGAAAAACCACCCAGAGCTTTTACCACCTGCAGCACGGTCTGCTGCTTCCTAAATGAGGCAGAGGGGGTTAAAAAAAACATCGTAAACAAAGAGTTTACATCTCCTGTTTTTGCCAATACATGTTTTAAAACTGATTTATCTGAATGTTTACTCTTGTATTGGGATAAACAACCAAGAAGAACTTACTCAGAGGGCATGCTGGTCATGACAAGTGTCCTCGGAGCCTGAAACAAACGCCAACATGCACATAATGAAAAGGATGACTTCAGCTAGACAGGTGCAATTCAATAACTTCTCACTTGTAAATTAATTTTAAAAGTGAGGAATAGAGTAATACACTATTTTGTTACACGTCTTAGTCAAGTCTAAATGAAGCCAAAAGTTTGTTTTTTTGGGGGTTTTTTTGTAAGACCAAAAATTAGGGAGTAAATCCTTAATTCTTTAAAACTCACTTTATCATGTTCTGGATACAAAAATAAAACTAAACGTCAATGTGATAAGTGAAAAATGAATCACATTCTGAATCACTGAAACCAAACTGTAAATCTCTCCCCTGATGACTGCAGACCATCCAGGCACATAGTTTGGCCCAGATACAGAGAGCCATCATCGACGCAAACACATCAGTGACAGCTACAAACAGGACCACCAAACCCTTTTCCTGCCACACTCTGCTATCTAGTTTACCAGCTGGATGTCAGAGGTTAAGGCCTGCTGAGCACAGAGGTGTCAAAACAGTACACAAACCACACCCGTGGTCGTCAAACATCACATTATTCCGGACATGGCACGTTAAGCAGTCACTCAGACGATAATGTCGTTGCTGCACTGTCGCCTCTCTTCGATTGTTCAACACGACATTATCTTCAAGGAAGAGAGATCTGAGCTTTAACAGGGTAATTGGTCATTAATACCAGTAAGGTGAGTAAAGTGAAGCACAAAAACTCTACGTATTCTGAGAGCTTTTCTAAAGGTTCCTTAAAAAAAAAAAAACTTGAGATTATTATATAGCACGTACATTTCCTGCAGCTGCACAAAAATCTTGCAAGAGCATGAGCTGTGCATAATGAGGCTGTGACAAGGAGCTGGTGTGAAATGCAGCACGACCTTGAAGCACAAACGCTCCGAGCGCAAATGAAGAAAACGCTTCGCTTTATGACTGAATCTTCTCTATAGTTACTGTTGTGGACACACTGAACTTAGCACTATTCAAACAATCAAAGAGGAGCTGTCATCTTTAGTCTCTTCAGATGTTGAAATATAATGGACATACATATTAGATAGCAGAATAAAAGTTAGAGGTGAACCAATCAGAATATTTGCATTGTAACCGCGCGACCAGACACATTTTAAAAGAAGCGGCAAAAGCAAATGAAATGGATGAGCAGTGCTTGTCAACAACTGGTAGCATGAAACAGCAACAGCCTTCAGCAAGAGAGTTATGCAGTTGAAATGCAACACTGACTGCTACTGGAGGCCTTTCCTGCCCACAGCATCTCTGAAGATCTTGGATGAGATGAATTATGATAACCTTTAATTTCCCTTTGCGATCAAGTATTTCTGAACTGAACTGACAGAAAAGCACTTTTTCTGGTTTTGGTTTTCCAGAATCCACATAGGCACAACTACATAGCTTTAATTCAACAATTTAATGTAAAACAAACTGAGCATAAAAGAGGTAGTTGTTTGAAGTGCAACAGAAAATGAGGATATTTTACTAAATTCAAAGAATCAAAGAACTTCTTGTTAGTTAGTGGTCTTGTTTTAGTTTTGATGCATTGCCAGACAAAGAAACTACTTTTTAGTAAAATAAAAAAAAAGTTAAAAAAAAAAAGTAAAAGTTAAGTTTTTGGACAATTAAATAATGACAATATTAAATTTAAAGAGGAAGCCAAGTCGTATGAACATGAAAAACACAGATAACTGTAAAAAAAAAAAAAAAAAAGGAAACAAGAAAAAAAGTTATAATCAGATTAAGTATTTTAAGATTCAGGGCCACGGTCAGAAGCTGACAATCCATAAATGTAACCAGTTAAGATCTCCGGCTAATGTGTCAGATGGGAGGTAAAACGTCTTACAGAGATCTAAGTAAGCGTGACTACCTTTCAAGCATTTATTATTATGACAAACTATGTCAATGAGAATATTCACTCACGTATAAGATAAGAATTAATCTTAAGGCAGCGCAATGTTAGAAAATAATGCAAAGGCAATATCACTGAATATCGGTTGCCATAAATCAACATTTTCTTTTCACTTCAATCATCTGCCATTGCTTCCAACTCTCTCTGTGGCCTTTAGTTTCTTGGGAAACATCACCAGCGTCAGCTGTGGCTTTCTACTGCTGTGAAGCTCCGACAGGCAGGTAGAGCATGAATTTCTGACACTTGTAAAGATAAATGAATGGAGTACTGCCGACAGTCCTTTGATATATTAGCTGTAATGATGACTTATTTGCAGGATACTTTGCAGCACTAAATTGAATGAAAAACTTAATTCAGTTTTGTTCATACCCTGACAATCAGGTGACTCTGGATGACCTGCTCTATCAAAGAAAAAAACCTCTGATTTTCACAACTCTTCTTTGTGACAGAATGTAGGTGAAAACAACTTATATTTCTGACAAACCCTCAGACTGTGTTAAAAATGGAAGAAAGACCATCGCTAACCTCAGCAAAAGTATTTGACCTACACAGCTGAAGGTAGGTGTGAAGTATTTTTGCAAGATTATAGAGAAAAAATTATGTGCCGCTTCATAGAAAGTGGTCTGCCATAACAAAGACAGTCTTGAAAAAACTTTAATTAGCAAAAAAAAAAAAAACAGACTGCAACTGTTGCATTGAGGATTTATAAGCTGTCAAAACAAAATGGCACATCAATCCTTGACATTTGTATTCAACAGATTACCACCGGTTTGTCTTCTTTTAGTGTAAGAGAAGGAAACAGTGGTTAGAATATAATCCTTTTTACCTCATTTATCAGGTCCTAAGTTTATTATTTGGTATATAGCTTTCTTTGTTTTTAGAGTTAATGAGTAATAAACCAAAGAAATAAGCATCCCTCCTAATATTTTATGGATCTGATGATTGAAAAGGTAATTGTTGCACCCTGGAAATATTGAATTGAGATTGCCATTTCTTTTAAAGTTATGAATAAAACACAGAGGCACAACAATGAACTGAAAAGTGTGATCGCAGAGGGGCGTGAAACAAAGTTGATCCGTTTTCAGCAACAGCTTGTTGAGGTTAGCAGCGTAACGTAAACAGAGCTGCAGGTGCATTTCCCAAGCAAGGAAGTTATGCTACCAGCAAACAGCCAAAACACAGGAAGGACCAGACAGAAACTCTCATCTATGTGCTTCCGACGCCGTCAGCCATTGAAGCATGTACGTCCTTTAAGAGGAAGTCCGTACATGTGTATTAAATAAACACAGCTGATATTTTCTATATCAGAAAGACAGTTTTTTTT